TTCCGGCCGGATGGACGTCTAATTAATTTCACAGAGCCAGCGAGTACGAGGCTTCCACGCTAATTCGATGAATCGAGTTTTCCATTCCGGCCCGTCGATTTCGCGCCCGTCAAACACTCCCGTCGGGGTGAAAATATTAAGGTAACCCTGCCGGCTGTTCCCGCGAGAACGCTCGATCTGTTCGCTCGAAAGTTGTTCCACATTCGGTGACCTTTCGCTGAAAATGTCAGGGTGGCTCGGCCTGCCAAGCAACGCCATTCTTTCTTTTCTTTTTTTTTTTTCTTTCTTCCCCACCGGTTCTCCTGATGCAATTTCGACGATCAACGATCCCTTAATCCGTGCCCGTTGTTCGACCATTGAATCGCTTCGATTCCGTCCATCTACCAGCCGGCCGGTGGGCGGGGAATCAGGGAGGGACTATTCATCTTTGGAAAAGGAGACGCTAATAAAGCATCATCGGGGAAAGAAATAAAGAGTCGCGGACAAATGGAGGAGATATTAAGCCCCGATAATGGATTCTTGTGCTCGTCCAAGCGTTCCCTGATATTTCCGTGATATTCATTTCGCCATATTGTCACGAGTGGCCGTGCTTTCGTCGCGAGACGACGCGAAGCGTTCCATTCCGCCGGGATAAGAACTTTCCATTCCTTAATGAGAAAACAGCCGGCGTCCGAACGGGGTAAGGGGTAGGAAAGAAACGAAGGGGGTTACATTAAACGTAACTTAACTCGGCATTCCGTGGGAAAAGAAAAAAGAGAAACGAGAAGGTAAAAAGAGAAAAAATAAACGCAATACCGTGGATTGTTGCCGTTGAAAAGGGGAAAGGAAATGTTTAGAGCCGTTGTTTGCATCGCTCTCCCTTTTGATCAACTTAATTTCGTCGAGACACGAGTGTCCCGATGATTTAATTATCCTTTGTTTGCTTTCGAAACGTTTTAACGGAGCACTCGTTAGAAATGAATTTCTTCGAGCAGTTTCATTCGTATGGCTGGCCTCGATGCAAGGAAAAGAAATTGCTCGGATATATTTAGGCAGAGTTGTACTACCTGTTCAATTATTCAACAATGCAACGTTCAATTGATCGATGCTTTAATGACATTTGATTATTCGCTGGTATGACGTACCATGTATCATAATTTCAACGAATCCCACTGATATCCTTAATCATCCCTATTGAAATTTACCATACCGTGTACTGTCGTTTCCAGTGTGACCGAAAATATATTAAAACCGATTTATCAATCATCGATGTTCGCCATTATAGGTACTCATACATCAAGCAGAAAGCACATGGTGCTTCAACGAGCACGCTCCGTGAAAGATAACTCATTTGAAAGCTGTATCCCCTATTCGATCACTCTCCTGGCTGATAACGAGACTCTCGTATCACGACAAACTGTCACGCGATCATCGACGTTTAATCTTATCGCGGGATCGTTAAAAAACAACGGCAGACAGCGTCGGCGACCAGCGAAACACGAAGGTGGACGGTTGGACGATACACGAACTGGCCGTAAGACGGAAACACGAGATCGATCATTCTTACGAAACGGTAGTAGCCGGTGATATCGGCAGTTCCCATAACCTTGCGACATTATTGAACGACATCGTGATCACGTAAGTTAGAGGCACGTTAGCTCGTGGAACGAGCTCGGGCACGATCGTTCCCTCGCGCAAATCGGAGGGCACGTTGCATCGGGAATTAAATCAACGCGGCCGGCTTCGTTGATGGAGATGAGGAGAGAACGGGATGGAAACGAAGAGAGAGATGGAACGAAAAAGCAGGAACAGGCGGAGTAAAAGGAAGGAAGACAAGAGGAAGAGGAGGCAGAGCAAGGAAGGGTGGGGGATCAATTTAGAAGCCGTGACTCACTCGACACGGTGACGTCGTTAGCGCACCCCTTTCGCCCTCCCTCTACGCCACCCCTAAAAAAAAAAAAAAAGAATAATCCGGTCACAACTCTCTCTCTAAGCGAGAACTAATCGAGGCCAGTGCACACTGCCGGGGAGAAGAAGGAGGCGAGGAGGGATGCGTTCTCGACTCTCGGCCGGTCGACGAGCCTCGAGTATTATTTCTGGTATTCCTGTATACCCGGTGTTAACCCAACGACGAGGACCAAAGAGGTGGCACGCGAGCCGAGCGGAAAGGGCACCGAGTCATCGTTGCGCACGATAACACCACCGGTCCCTCGTTACATCGGAAAAAAAAAAAAAAAAAGAAAAAACTTGTCCGTTGGAGTTTTTTACCTACACGCCCATCTATGTACATTTACGCGCCACTGACTCCTGTTTACAAAGAGAAAGAACGAAACGCGGACGAGAGGAGGAACAAGGAAAAATTGTTGGAAACTGCGAACGAGGAAGAGGATGCAGAAAAAAAAAGGGGGAAGTATCCAACGCATCTCTCCTCCGCGCCCACCGAGCCCAACGTCCCCTCGCCCCAATTACCGTGCCCATCGCACACCACCTCGTCCATGCTCGTAATTTGCATCCGACCTCTATTTCCTTCGCAGCCACGTCCAACGAAATCCTTCCTTATCAAACGTCCAAGACGAGCTAACAACCCCTGACGAACCATCCCTTCGACTCGTACCACTAGAAAGGATCATGACGATATCGTCGTTTCGGATTGAACGGTGTGCTCCAGTTGCAGGAAGCGACAGTCAAGTCAGGGTATAACGTATGTCCTGGGGAGGATTTTGCTTTACTCACGACGCACACGTTCGACGAGGATCAGGCTACTGTCGGTCGGAAGACGTCGACTCCTAGATCGACGACCGACGTACATCCTATTCCTCGAGTCCTGGCGCCGAGGAGCCGGATGATCCTCCCCGTTGTCACTCCGGCAACACCCACTTTCTCCGCTGGCCTCGTAACCTCGAGGGCCACTTTTCTTTCTCTCCCTCGCCGCCGTCGCCGTCGTCGAACCAGGCGCAGCACTACTCTGACAGCACCACCACTACCAGCGGACACCACCACGATAGGAAACCACCACCACCGCCGCCGCCACCACGGCCACCACTACCAATGCCGCCGCCACCACGAGCACCACCACCGCAGTTCGTCCTATCACTCTGGATACTGGCAAGCAGTCAGTGTCTACGGACCGATGCGTTACGCGGGATACGCGCCCTTCGTTTTATTTTTTTTTTTTTCAACCCCCAACACCCTTAACTTGCTTCGCGTTTAAAACGTAACTTTGCCACAATGAGCAGTGAGCATCGACGAGCAACTGTCTGTACGCGAGCCACGCGAGGTGGCCGACCAGCATGGGACAATTCTCTCCGTAGCTCGCTGCGGGATATGCCACCGTGAGCTGGCCTATCTACGCGCCTGTCTGCTCACCCAAGCCTCGAACGACGCCCCCCTTGCGTCCCGGCGCGACGCCTTCTGGCCAGTCACCACACGAGTGTATGCGCGATCCTGGCACACGCGTGTCCGTGACACGTCCCAGCATGCGCTCTTCTACGCGCGCCTCGTATTGCACGCGCTCCACTAGGGTCGAATTTCCTCCAACCACCCCGATGTCGCTGCTCTCGACCTAGGGAGTTTCTCTTAGGGAAAGGACCGGGGAGGGAACTATGGCTTCCAAACCGTGGTGGGAATTTTTTTCCTCTGTTTTTCATGAGTTCAATGTCGAAGGAAGGCGCGCACTGAACTCTATAGGGTACGTGGAACGATCACCAAGTATTAGGGGTCGAGTTGGCTCGTTAGACAGAATAAAGTGTGCGAGATGTTCTTATTTCCCTCTGACGTGTGTACACCCTCGATCACCCTCGGCGTCCCTCTAGGGAAAATGGCGGTCTAAGCCAACGGAGGAGAAGGTGTCCTCACCACTGAGTATGATACTCCAGCCATTAGGCATCATTCCTAATTCACGGGAGACACATTTGTATTCGATAAAGAATAAAAGTTTCTCAAATAAACAGTTAGTCGCTAAAGCAAGTCGGTTCTTACCGATTTTATCCATAAGTCGGTAATTAGCTTCAGCTGCTTTCCAATAGGTAGCGGTGGTGTTCCGAAAATCGATCGATAACCTGTTGAGCAGTTTGAGCCATTTTTGTATAGATGGCATTATGCTCGAAAAGCAGAGTACACCCCCCTCTTTCTTCGACGTCCGAAGACAGACTGACGCGCTTCCGCTTCAGCTTCAGCGCCAAGCGACTAATTCATAGGTCGAATTTTAATTGTAGCGTTTCGTAATTATGGTGTAGAATACAAACATTATAATCTCAAAAAAGAATAAAATACTATTCGTATTGGCCTATAAGGAGGAATAAAATAATAAATAAAAGGGTTCCCCCTTATGAGCTTATTTAACAAGTTAAGAAAATAAATAAAATAAATTGAATAAACTATTAAAATAAATGAAAGGTATATGTATGTTTGACAGGTAGATCCACATCCCTTGGCGGTCACGATACGACCGACAAGGACTGAGGAGATCTCACCTCCCTCGAAGTCGAACGGGTGACAAACAATAGCTTTACTACCTTTGCTCGAAAGATCCAACAAAATTGAACATACCTTTATTTTCGAGGTGTCTTGAAGTTGTCTCCCTTGGCTCGACTCATCTAGGGTTTTCTGTACTCTGTTATCGTTCCAGGTATAGCATAGAATCTAGCGGAGGCGCGTCATTTTAGCACGCTATTCGATTAACCTTGGAACGCGGTTGAGCCAGGAAAGATGATGCTAAAAATTTCTGATTGAAATGCTATCTTTCGCTGCTGATTTCGTTCGACGTATCTCTTATCGATTTTCATGACTGTTTTTTATACGTTTCGATCTGTTGCTTCGAACTATTTAGGTTTTCATACGCATCTTAGATTTAATGATTATTTAAGGTGAAATCATTCGTTTTTAAATATGTTCAGGTTTCATATTAAACATATGTTAAGGAGATACATATTCTATTACAACTCTGCTTGTAATCTGGCGTTGAAAACTCGATGTGGCTCCATTCCGACGTACGATCTAGGGACTTTTGGTAAGAAACGACATGTTAACCTGTAAATACCGTCCAGCCACGCTCGTACTAATTCTGCGTTGTAAGATACTCTTTTCTCAAGTTTGCAGTAATAATAAATCTTGGGTTACGCTCAGATAATATTCCTGCGGTTGATGAATGTAATGTGTAATTCACATATACTTTAAAAAGGATTAGAATAGTTCGATTCTCGTATCTCGAGTGTTATTGAATTTTGTTGATAATGCAGTTGATGTTTGTACTTTTCTGATTTGTTCTGATTACAGTGCAATATCAAAGAATGACGCATAACGTGTCCCTCCACAAATGGCCTTGCTTAGAAGGTTAGATATCACAGTCGATTCTTATATGAAAGACCGTGGACCGTTACAACAGTGTACATACAGTCAGCATCTAGAATAGTGTCATGGTGTGACAACGATGACAGAAACTGTATTCCTCACTGACGAGTCCAGTACTAAAGTTAATATGTGGGGTGGCTTTCGTTGCAACAAGAGTTTCCTAATATTGTTCCTGATTCATGTGATCGCGTTTCAAAGTTTCATATGTAAGTGTTCATCTAACATTCTCTACTTCTCCAGTTTCTTTTATCTCCTCTACCAGAACCAGCGGTTCGCGCATGTAATGTCAGATGGAGCATGTAACCCTCTCTGCGCATGTTCTTCACCAAATTCAAACTGGTTATCCTAAAAAACATGCGTAGTATTAATTATATACGACTATAGTTACGAAAAAATGTTGGTATCTAGGAAAATTGATCTATTATATATTCCCTAATTTTATTTCAATAACTCAACGGTTTGCCTAAGTCGCGGCCTGCTAGGTAGCCTTATTGATAAGTCCACTAGCAGACTTAGAATGAAATACTCTTTCCTCAAATCGAAATTTTGGCCATACTAAGTTAATTCTCTAAGATTGATGAACTAATATAATTCCTTTATCTTAAAAAGATTACCAGGAGCATCACAAATGGCAAGAGCTAAGAGATAAACTGGAATCGATGATCGTCGAGCAACGAGATGTATACGGTCTAACGTACAGTATAATGAAGAGATTGGAAGGGCATGGGGTACGTAATGGAATCAAGCAGGAGCCAGCCGACAGGCCTACGATTTACGCGATCACCCCAACGTTCACTAGGCCTGTGCAAAAGGCCGAATTGACCCGATTGTCACAAACATTTCTACACATACCAAACTTCCATTGGATCCTCGTCGAAGATTCCGAGAAAAAGACGAAATTAGTTACGCGGTTCTTAGAGAACAGCAGTTTAATTTATACTCATTTGGCAGCGTTTACACCGCCTAATTATAAGCTGGGTCGAAATGATCCGAATTGGAAGAAGCCACGTGGCGTTGAACAAAGAAACGCAGCGTTACGCTGGCTTCGAGAGAATACGAAATCAACCGACAAAGGGGTAGTGTATTTCGCTGACGATGACAATACGTATTCTATTAAATTGTTTCACGAGGTAAGAACATTAACCAGCCACTGCAAGTGGTCACGAAAGGGTTACGTAACGTACACTTGCTTGTTGCAGATGGAGAAGATACAAAAGGTCGGTGTGTGGCCGGTCGGCCTGGTAGGTGGTTTAATGGTGGAGAAACCGATATGTGATAACATTACTAATAAGGTAATCGGTTTCAACGCTGCCTGGAAGCCGGATCGTCCGTTTCCATTGGACATGGCGGGCTTTGCGATCAATCTACGGCTTTTATTAGAAAATAAAGATGCTCTCTTTTCCTATGATATCCAAGGTGGTTACCAAGAAAGCGAAATACTCAGACAAATTGTCACTAGGGACGAATTGGAACCATTAGCAGATTGTTGCACTAAGGTAAGTTTATAATTATTTACTTATTTTTTAATTACCTTATGAATAAAATAATTATCGTTCTATATGTTTCGTTTAGGTGTACGTGTGGCACACACGAACCGAACCACCGCAGTTAATCGTGGAACAATTATTAATAAAGAAAGGTAAACGATCGAACGTAGACATCGAAGTCTAATAACAATACCAAATTGTTATTTGCCACGCTTCGCGATCGTCGAACAAAATTTATGCCATAATGGAGTAACGTGAATCTTAAATTTTGCAATAATGAACTCGACGGAGCAACGATTTTTATATACGCTTTTCTGTCATTTGCAACATGGCTACGTAGTCAGTTGAATGAAAATAATAACGCAGTGCTATAACGCGTAGTAGCTTATATGTGCATACATGATAAGGACTTTTATTAAGGCGATATTGCTCGATTCATGGTTTAACGTGATTATCGATAGTATGCTTGATCAATATGGCTGAAATACTATAATTAACACGTGGATCTTTTTAGACCTGGAATGTTTTCAAATATTCCTTTTGAATATTCAATTTATTTAAATTTTATCTTCTCTTAACAAAATTTAAAAAATGGGATAATCATGCTTTGCAAGAAACAATTATTCAAGGTTACAATACAATGTAAATGTAATTATATAAATAAGATGTGGGTCTAAGAAGACCCAGTGTGACCGCCATGCGAGTGTTTAATATCGTTTTACCTGTTCGAATCAAAATTTGTTATTTTTTATATGCCTGTTAGTACAAGGCCCTTCTTTACACGATAAATCATGTTTTATTATCCTTTCAAAGGTTGTAACGAAAAATGTAACGTTTGAATAAAGGAAAGTTTTAAACAAAAACTGAGAACATGTGGTGTCCGTAGATCTTAAATTATTCGACCCTTGAAAAATGTTCTTTATCCTTTATTAAGTCGAGTACGTTTTTTTCGACGCGTACAGAAAAAGCATACATAAAAAATATGCCTTACACCTACGAACTTTTAATAATGCTGCTTTTTTTTCCCTTTTCGTTTTAAATTGGAAGATGCGCAGTAATACTTTTCATGGGAAGCTATTTGGATTACGGATTTTGGCAACGAATATAAAATAGCTAGATAAACGTGACCATTTCTCCTCTTCGACCGAGCCGCCAAATTCGGAATATCTCGGTGAAGCATTGAAATTTTGACGAACAATTCGCCATCTTTCTATTTTGTCTTTTCAATATATACAGGGTAATTAAAAATAAAGAAAAAAAAAAACACGGATCTAACAAGGGGAATTACCCAAGTGTTACACTCACTTATTAATGAAACTTTGCCAGCTTGTGGAGCTCGTCGAGCTGAACACGTCTATACCCCGTTTTGTGGGCAGACGGCTAATTGTTTAAAAGATATTAATAATTAAAGTTAGTTACTATTTACATTGAGAAGTATGACAGACTCATACATATAACTCGCAGTCTAGAGATCCACAGTTCAAATCCTTGGTTCCCAACATTTCTTTTTTTTTAATGATAATTTGTCTCTTTTTGAATAACTATTACATAAAAATTATCATTATAAAAAAAAAAAAAAAAAAAAAAAAAAACGGGAACCCAGGATTTGAACCGAGGACCTTTAGATTAGGAGTCATGTGTTTAACAACGGAGCAGACCCATGACTTGCAATTTGAAGGTCCTCGGTTCAAATCCTTGGTTCCCAAAAAAATTTTTTTTTTTTATGATAATTTTTATGTAATAGTTATTCAAAAAGAGACAAATTATCATTTAAAAAAAAAGAAAATGTTGGCAATCAAGGATTTGAACCGAGGATCTCTAGATTGCGAGTTGTATGTGTGAGTCTGTCATACTTCTCAATGTAAGTAGTAACTAACTTTAATTATTAATATCTTTTAAACAATTAGTCGTCTGCCCACAAAACGGGGTATAGGCATGTTCAGCTCGACGAGCTCTACAAGCTGGCAAAGTTTCATTAATAAGTGAGTGTAACACTTGGGAAGTTCTCCTTGTAAGACTTACAATCCTCACCAAGCCGAATAAAAATTGTTTAATCGGCGTAAATCCTAAGATAAATCTTTTCGATGAAAATTACAATATTTTAAATAAATGAGAAGCTAAAATATATTTTTACAAAATACTTCAAGGAAAGTATCCCTCCAGATGAGTACTATAACTTTTAAGCCGCCACTTTTTTAATACCCTGTATATATTTTTCATGTATAATAATGTACTCGTTTGACTTACATGCTAATAAGTACTATATATTTGGCAAAACTCTGTTTACGGTACGTAAAAAAGCTACTCGGTGCAGAAAGTGTGTGTTCGCGAACGGGGAAGCGTAAATTTTTCATTTTAATTTGATCTTGCTATAAGTAGGTACTCAAGTAATCATTTAACAATAAATATAATGACGATCAGTTATTTCTTTTACCGGTTTATAATACTTTAATTCGTTAACTCGTTTTCTCGTCTGCGAACCCACTTTCCGTAGCCGCATACAACAGTCTAAACTTACCGAACTCTCCTAAACTTATCTTCGATACTCCTTAAAGATTAGGAAAAACGTTTACAAGCATTTACAAAAACTTATCACATTTTTAACTGTTTTTCTCGAAAAGCCATCTTACATGTTAGGACAAAACTGGTACTTTATATTATCGAATATTATATAATATATATATATATTTATATTTATATATGGCAGCTTTCGATTGTTCTCTGTTTTTGTTTCTTTTTTTTTTTTTTTTTTTTAATTTTTACGTACCTCAGAAATAAAACTTCAATCTCTTATTTAGTGTCTGCAAGAATTATAACTTACAGTTTATTTAAAGCGAAAAAGAGCCCATCGAAGATGTCACTGCTGATTACACTATACACATATCGTTTAGAGAGACTTGTAACTTGTTAAAAGATACATTTGGGACATAATATTGACACGTCGTATCACGATCGACGCATCGAATAAAATTTCTTTCAGTCCCTTCATAATTTTCGTATCTTACAGTGTTTTATTTTCTTTTTTTTTTTTTTTAAGTATACCGTTTCAGAGCTGTGTATCAATAATCCGATCGCTATAGAGGATCATAGATCGATCAGAAATTGATGATAGCAAAAGCTGCCCAATTCTCTTACTTACAAAGTAACCTACGTATTAGAGGATTATACAATAAAATGCTTAAGAACGAGAGAACGTAAAACGTCAAAAAGACACTTGGGCTGCTCTTGCACGCGACGTAATCTTTACATTGTATAAAATGTACATACACGATAAACTATCACGATAAATTATATCACGGATAAAAACAAAGAACGTGTCACGCGAGATGTGTCCACCTCAATGTAAGAAAAAAAAAGAAAGAACACGATTAACCGTGAATAAACGTAAGGGTTGGTGACCGATACGTCAGTCATGTTTGTCGGACAAGGGCAAGAGTCACGTTTAAAAAAAAAGCCGCGCAATAGAGATACTTTTTTTATATCAAATTTGTTCGTGGCTAAGGAATACGTATAGCAAATGAATTTTAAGTATGTTCGTTTGCAATTAGGCTTCTTTTAGTTAAGAGGAAAATTGTTTTCATGTTTTTCATTGTCCAAACGCAGGGGGTTGTAAGTTAGGCTCTCCCTAGATTTTCCCCAAATCAAACGGAAGTGGAGGGATGATCTTACAATTGCATTTAACCAAGAGACGACTACATTTCACTCACGTGTACAGAAGTACCGAACACGTTAAGCTTCTCTAAGGAAAATGGCACTGTAGAAGGATTATTTGACAAATTTTATTTAATATTTATCTTATGGGATAGGAAGGTCCACATTAGGTTTCTCCTAAATTTACCCCAAATCGAAAGCAAATAAAGACTCCTTTCTCTACCCTCACCCTTAACTAAAAGAAGCTCTCCTTGCACCCCGACTGTACACTACGTACGACGAGTCGAAATGATAAACCTTGAGTGACCTGAGTTGCTTGATCGTCAATGATAATTGGGATGCACGATTCATTTCCATCAAGTTTCACGCTTAAAGGAATCAGTCTTTGAAATAAAGTCGTGGAATCACGAGAAATTCGTCGTTTCATTAAAGTGGTGGTAAATTGTCATAGAAATAAATCAACCTGTGTCGTGGACGTATATAAAACACGTAATTAAGCATGTCGAAGGGGGATTCACAATCACCTTTCTCAAATGTTATATTTACACAGGAAACCTCTTTTCGTCGTGACAGAGAGGTTTCCCTATTCCGTTCGTTTTCTGCTTCTCGTAAAACGGTGCATCGTAAAAGTCTTCTTAGTTACAGAGTGTTCTCTTAATTAATCGTAGAAGAAAACGAGATGGAAAAAGGAAGGATTATTCCTTTTCCCGGTTTCGTGCTGTGCGAAGGATAACACAGTACTACCCAGCGTACTAGACTGCGATATTATCTAAGGGGTGCCTCGAAGCAAATGGCCACTAAATAACCGACTGACTTCTACCAATTTCGCCATTAATTTTGTACAGTTCTTTCTCTTCTGAGTGAAAGCGATCTATCTAAACTCCCCTCCTTGCAATATTCGCTAAATTACATTAACATCGATAGTTTCTTTGTTCCTAGAACGATCTTGGGACGCTAAAGTATCTTTTACTTGCTTTGATGAGGAACAGAGAGGGACAGAGAAAGGGGTTTAGTAATTCTACGAAGGACACGGGCTAAAATCATACGTACCTGTACCGAATAAATTTGTAAAGTGCAGAAGTTATAAACAACAGCTAACAGAGTTCCTGATGCGTGTCCTCGAGAAACAAGGACGCGGATAAAGGGTGCACGCACGAAGCGTCGTTCGATCGCTTCAAGACGACGCGTGGGTGGCACTCGAAGGACATATTTCGTTCCCGCGCAAAATCTCGCTCTAATAACGTATCGTTTTGAAGTTCGAAAAAGGAGAAGACTATTTTTTTTTTGTGAACCGCGGAAACTCTGTTCCCTTGCACGTTTCGGGATACCTGTTTCCTTGTATCTTTCTTGTCATTTTCGAGAACACTTTTGAACCGGAAACAGCGTTTCTACGGTGGTGATTTACAATCTAGTACGCCGGAAGAATATCTAGACGGCCGAATCCTTGCCGACGAATCCGGTCTTTGACACGGATCTCTTTCCGTCGAAGGTGATTGACGTTTCCCGTCGCAATCCCGAATCAATGATCGGCGTGATCTTCTTCTCTTCCTTCAACGGCTCCTTCTCGTCTCTAAAACGTTTGAACACAATAAAAGACACGGGTTATCAATTGAAGACGATGCGGATTCCGTGTGGTTCTTAAGGTTAATTCTAGTACTGGGCATAAAAAAGAGCATGTCCAGAGATGCGGCGCGTGGTGCAACATCGAATAATACGCATATAATGCATGCCATCACTCGTTAGTATCGTGTATTTGCAACAGGAATATCCTCCGTTTTTAATCGCGTGTTCGACCCATAAGGGGTGAAACCTTCGATAATTGAAAGAAGGTTGAAATTGATTGACACTTCCTCCCATCAAAATTTTCCAATCAACGTAGGGACGTTTGGGTTGTATGTACATTTTCTTTTTTCTTTTCTTAATAAAATGTGTCGTTAAATTCGCAGATATTTCAGAAACAGAATAATCCCGGATGCTGCGGTAACCTCGCTTTGTCATGGTAGAAACTGAATTACCTAAATCCATGATACACGGCTGAATGGTAGACAGGGTGAATTAGAGCGAATGTTAGTGAGTATTTGCTACGTGGTTAACGAGCAATTAATAACACTTCAGAGTGTTGATATCTCATGCAGCATAGCCAAAGCACGGGCGAATAATGGCGGTAGTATGCAGCGTGTGTCAAGAGTGATAGAAGGCTCAGAGAAATAGAGAAGAAAACAAAAACCATGGTGAATAATGTACATTGTTGTCTTACGGAAAGTGGTTGGCGGTAGAACAGATGCATTGAGAAAAAGAAAAAAGGAATTTGGTACTGGGAAGACAAACAAACCAGAGTTCTCTCATGCTGCGAATTTGTTTTATCGATGGACGGACGCTGGTCTGGTCCCATCCATCGAATCGCTTTAAAAATAGAGAAAAGAATCTGCTATTTTTAAAGCAATTTGAAAGGAGAGTATCCTTAAGTGTATCCAGGAAGCGTCGAGGAGTTTGAGGAGATAAATAAATGAAATATAGAAAGAGGGGTAAAGGATCGGAGAGGATTGAAGAAAAGGAAAAAACAAAAGAATATCATGCCAAGTAGAAAGCCGTGTCAGAGCCCCTTCGAGGAGGGGCCATGCTTCTTACTGATTTCACTTATGTATCTCTCTTACATGGCAGTGTGTTTGACCAATCTAATGGTATTTTTTCCACTACCCGAGTCTTGGATGGCCGTGACCCCGGCGACATTGGCCATTTTTTGGTCGCAATACGGCAACGGAAACCGCCAACCGTAAAGACTACCGGTAAAAAAAAAGAGAGAAAGATGCGAGAGGGTCAAAGTGTCTCCTAATGGCGGGCTATTTAACCATGGAATATTGTATTATTTTGCGGCTGGACAAATATATGGTTCCGATTCGAAGACGAGGGTTAAACGGACACGCGATGCCCGGTTCCGATTTCTCGAGTACTCGTTAATGAGTCGACGTTCATTAGAGTCACTGATGAATAATTGTATAAATCATGATATTTTTAAATAATTTTAAATAAAATTTAAGTTTATTAGAAACTCCATAGATTTTATTCAATTTGCAATATTTTCAAAATTTAATACCCAATTTTAATTCAGTTTTATTAAGAATATTCTTGAATAACCAAACAAATGAAAAGAATTCATTATCGATAAATACCACAAGATGAATGCAGTTCATTTATTCCGAAGAACTCGAATAACTTCAGTTCCCGACAAACCGGTACCGGATTTCCAAGGGTATTTGAAAAATCCATCGTTTCTCATCAGCTAATTTGCACGTTAGTCACGGCTTCCCGCGGGAATCTCGAATCGAATTCTTTCGACGAACGGAACGAAGACGAACGAAAGAGATCCGCGTCGGAAAGTCTGAACAAAGTTCGACAGAGGTTGGGAAAGAAAAAAGTTCGATGACACGGTAAATATAGCGCCAAAGACTTGCCAAAGCACAATGTAATAAAATATGTATGTATGTAATGTATAAAGGAAGTCGATTGAATTGATTGATCTATAATATCGAGAAAGGATGTCAAGTGTGTAGGTGTGGCATGTTTGACAAAAAAAAAAAAAAAATAGAAAAAAATAGAAAAAAATATATAAGAAGAGAAGAATTTAATTGGAATGATCCTCACCTGCCTAATTTCGCATCATCTTCGTCCACTGGTTTCCGGCGAGATCGTTCGCACACGTAATATATAATTCCTGAAATAAAAATTATAAATACATATATGTATCCAAGAGTTTTAATTCGCGCACCTAATACTTCCTTTCCTTTTGCTTCGTTAAATCGAAACCTGGATATAAATTAGCCTGGAAAATTTCATGTAAACAGAGGAAATCGTAATTTCGTATAAATCCAGAATGCAATTTGAAACAAGTTTATGCCGGTGTTTCGAGTAAATTAGTGTTGTAATTCCGGATAAATCCGAGTCGCAATTTCAGCTAGATTCGCGGGTACCGCTACTTCGAATAAATTCACGTTGCACTAGAGAACGTAATGTCGCTCCGCGATTTTAACACTTTGATTTATGTTCACACGCGAACGAATTTACGTGGACATTTTGAGCGTGGTAAATTGAATTTTTAATGAAACCGCGGCACACTTTCGCGTAATCTTAAATCGTGCGGTTACGAACGATGCAATTTCGCAAATGCGTTATGATTCCATACGTATGCACCTAATCATCGAATCGTTAGAAAGTTATAATTTCAAACTAAATGCTACCCTATGGATTAAACGAATCAAAAGGAATCGAAGAAATGATGTAAAAAACTATTCTTACCTGTTTTATGCGCGCAACAGCAGATCACGTCGATTATGATGATGATAATGAACAGTACCGCGATCACGATACCAATTATGGCCGCGCTTGATATCAGAGGTGCTTCATGAATCTCCGGACGGTCTGGACCTTGAAGGATAAAAACAACACGTCAGAAAAGATTTCACCGGGTAAACATGAATTTATTGCAATCCGTTAGTGCAGAAGCATTACTTTAGCGTTGTTTGGTGATGACGAGGACAACATCACGGTTATTTTGCGAATTTATTATCGTCGTTACGAAACATAATTTTGAAAACATTAAGCGGCAAGAAGATGAGAAATGTTCAAGTACACACACCGATCCGATTGTTGCTCGTTCCAACAAATATTCGATTATCGAGAACACGATGATCATCACCAAACGCGCGTTAGAGATACGATTAATTTTAGTCTCCTGAAAAGAAACAAGATCGGCAGGGGGCGGGGGGCGCGTTCAGGGTAGGTGCCAAAAATCCGTCTTTATCGATACAAGCGTAGACACGATAATATACCAGAAACCAAAACGAATATAAAAACCAAAGGAAAAAAAAAAAAAAAATCACAGGCAACGCGTGATCGAACAAGCGACACAAAGAAGCGTGTTGTTAAAAAATAGAAGAAAATTGGTGCAGAAGACACGTAACAAGCACGAGAATACATACAAGAGCGAAGAAAAACACAGGCGATCAGAAGGGTGATGGTCTACCCTTCTGTCGCTGATAAAAGGGGTGCTGATAAAGCTCAAGGAAGGGGGAAGAAAGCTCATTCGCTACCTTTCTCTCCCGATTGTTAGTTCTTTTTTTTCTACGCGTCACTAATCTAAATGTGCTACCTCCACACAGAAAGCCTTTCCATTGAGTGCTTTTTTTTTTTACTCTCTCTCCCTTTCTCTCCCTCTCTCTCGCTCGCTTTTTGCCTTTAATGTCAACAGGGACTACTACGACATACACTACCGTTCGAAAGTGTTTCATCGTGAATTGACTAAAATATTTTTCAACTTCAAATGTGGTTATTCGATAAGAATAAATGATTGAATACTTTCGAGCGATAACGTAGATGTATTATACTTAGCAGATGTATGATACACGTTACACCGTCGTTCTCTTCTGTTGTACCTGAGAATATTTACCGTCTTTCTTTTCCAAGCATCCTCCCGTGTTTTATTAATCGTTTTTTGTTAAACAGGTAAGCGGAAAATGAACGAGACGGCCGGGAAAGAAACCATCTCAAATTGCTCTGCCCGCTCGCTCGAATTTTCTACTCTACCTTAACCCCTTAACGGAACGGTCATTATTTTCACCCTCGTCTATCCCGAAACACTCGTAAAACCTTCCTTTCTATTTCAACATCCTTAGAATCTAATCCATGATAAATAAATAAAATTGAAAAATTATCGTTGAGGGGTTAAGTCGCGTCGAAATGAACACGTATAATATAATTCTTCTTTGAATCATCTATCAAGAAAGCCACGCCTGATTAATTATAAATATTCTTGTATCAGCAGCTTCGATGCTTCTCACCCATCGGTAAAAGATATCTTCGATCCTCGCGGAAGCGGAAACAATTTGATGGTGGCTTCTTCGTTGGCTGATTCATTTGTATTGTATTTCTTAAACACTCACAATTACATATATTTCCGTACTGAATATATTTACAATAAATGTTTCACAAGGAAACCGCGCTTGTGTTATCCTCGTCATAAATACGAACGTGTATATATTACGGTATGTTAGGCACTAGGCTAGCACATTATTCTTGCACGCATTTAAACACCTTATCTCTCTGTCTATTCATATGTATATACGTTTCGTACACACACGCGTGTACATTGTAAAGGATTCACAAGTGTTGCTCGTTTACACGTTATTCATTCAAACACGTTGGAATTTGTAAATCTAAACGTTCAACCTACCACGTGCAACATTTATCCCTTTTTCTTTTTCTTCTCTTTATTGTAAACTTTTTATCTCTGTATATTTAAATTTCATAACTATATACGTTTCGTATATACACACGTGTACATTGTATACGTATCGCAAGTGTGTTCGTTTGAAAAAGAAGAAATTCAAAGTTTACTCTCTTTCGTTTCACGAACCGATGCCACCATTTCAACGGGTCATTAAAGTTTCTTATTCATCCTCGTTAGCTCGAGTCTGTCGGATACACATCGTTGTATACCGAGAAAATAAGGGATGCTCGAAGGGGTAGACGAGGTCGGTGATCATTTCGAGTTGTCATTAAAAGAAAAAAAAAAAAAAGAAAGCGTAGCTATTCGAAGGCTGCGATTGACAGGGTCTTTCCTGGTCTGTTATTAGTACTCGCTGTTACGTGGCTAGGTACAGGTGCCATTTCAGAGAGAAATATCCGATACGAAACTGACGAGGGGGGTTGAAAACGTAACGTGGTCGATGAAACGAATAAAAAGAGGAGACAAAATTGAAAACTGCGAATAGCGAGGAATTTTATATTTTATAAAAATTCAAACGGATTATTCTGTTCGAATAGCGCGCTGAAGAACGAAATCAGGAAGATCGCGATGCAACGTGTTGACAGTGGAATAAGAATCTTCCAGGAAGACGGCACTCGAGCTACGATCGCGTTATCGCGAGTTCGCGACGGTTAGAATCTCTGGTACCATGTGCCACCCTCGAAAATAGATTCACGGTTCTCGACATTGCACCATGCACTTCATATTGCGAACTAGCGCGGATGCACTTCTCACAGATATCTGTCTCATCCCTCGCCGTGTTCCCTTTCGTTAGAACTGTCTATTTATAACGAAACTTCTGTTTCAAAACGAACATAGTTAGAGTTCCTCGAGCGGATTTATACTCGCAAGTATCATCGGTTTATTTTCAGGAAATCGATGACAGAAGTATTGAAAAAGCATTTTTGAGAAAAATTTGAATGGGAATTTGAAGGGAGATGAAGCGAAATAGACTTCGATGTTTATCCTGCCTGAATCTCTGACATCGTCGAAGGAATAAACGCGACAGATAGAAAGCAGATTGCGAGATTAACCGGCATAACTGGGGATAATGGTTCGACTTTAACGCGATTAAAACTCTCCCGAGGCTAGAAACGTTTAAAACTTTCAATAGAGAGAAGAGTGTTGCGAGCTGCAACCTGTTTTACACTTCGATCTCTCGTCTCCCTCTTTCTCACCCCTATTCACGACGATGTAATTTTACGACTTAAAGCGCGCCACGCTGGGAAACTGTTTCGGTCGGAAGATCAGGAAGCTGGCGTCGAGCAGAGATAATTTCGAAGAGGATGCAAATGGGCTGCCTAAGAGAGGCGGCTTGTACTCTCTGACCCTCGCTTCCGAAGGCGCGAAGAAACGCGGCGCTGGATGAAAGCGTTCGATGCACAAAAGAGGTGTTTGTCGCGAAGAAATTCTCGAGAAATGCGAACGACGAATAATAGCCAAAAGAGAGCTCTTTCTCTTCCTTTTCTTAATCAGCTAATGTTGAAGATTCTCGTTTCGACCTGCTTCGTTAAGTATATTTAACCTTTCCCAGAGGTATTTTTAATCAACTCTGTGTAAATTATTTGATACAGGCTGGATTTGAATTTTGCTCCTCGTTTTCATTCAGTAATTTTCCAGCAAAATGTCCGGGAACGGGAGAAAAAGGGTGCGCGAGGGTGCCTCACGGTCCAAGCAATCTCGATGCCGGATTCTCTCTCGAAAAGCGATTTAACTTCGACAAAATTACATTAGAACACGCTCGAATCGATTCCCATTCTAATGGAGCTTGGCTGGACGGTCAGAGCTCTCTCTGCTACAAATTAAGAGGGCTCCTTCCCTCTCTTCTGTCTGTTGGCTCTCGTTCAACAAAGCTCGGCTAGATCGATTCGAAAAAAAAAAAGAAAAAAAGAAAAAAAGAAAACTAAAGAGTTTCGTGAGCAGAGACGATTATTTCGTGTCGTCCCCTCGGTTTCCTTTCTCTCTTTTTCTCTCTCTTTCTCTCTCTGTTTCGTGTCTATTGTCGGCGAGAAACGATTCGCGCGTCGACGAGCACCGCTTTTCGGCGCGATCCACGCTCCGAAGAAAACGCTTCTCTCTCTCAGCTCGCTCGGTTCGGTTTGCCTCCCGCGACACGCCGTTCAACCGGAAGTTCGTGGCTCGACGACTCGTTTCAGAGTTCTTGCACGGCCGGAATTCGCGAACAGGATGCTCACGTGGTTCCGGGAAAGAAGAGGTTCGTTATCCCTTTCTTCACCAACTGGGTTTCTGAGAGATTGGCCACTTGTGACTTTCTTTACTTTCTTTTCAATTTAATGTACACTTCGTCGGTATTGTTTTAAGAATGAAAAAATTAAAATTACACAAAAGGGGGTAGTTAAATTTAGAACTGAGATGTAATAGAATTCATAACCCTTTGACGTGAATTTTTGTGTTATTCAAAATTGACCTAAGTTGTTTATTCGTAAAGGAATTCGATTGTTCGAGGTATGAAATTCGAAGGAAAATCGTCGATTTTCCACAAGGAATAATTTCAACTTTAATCGATTAATCTATCGGATACAATATAAAATAAAAAGTTTACCCGCTTCTACTCGGAACCACAGTATTCCTTTTTATCTTTCGATCTTGCTACCATGAGATTCCTCGTCTATCAATTAAGTATAATATAATACATAGAATGTACATTCGTCGTTCTAACACGCTCGAGATTTTAGGCCAGCCTGGGATTCATCGATCACTTAAAACGATCAAGCATACAGCACACGGTGTCTTTATCTTACGGTCGAGTCAGCATACGCGAAATATAACCCTTTACGGTTCGTTTACATGAACGTAAACGCGAAGCCACACGAACGGCCGGAGCACGCGACAGTTAAATTGTGAAATGCCATTCATTTTCGTAGAAAGCACGAGAGAGAGACTCTTGTAACAGCATTCTATTCATAGAAAGCCTGATGGATCGTGCCTACATGTTTCTTATGTAGACCTCTGTTATTACGTCCAATGCTCGTGTAACTGGTTATGATATTCTTTTACGAGGAAAAAAAGAAACAAAAAGAACTTACGTTGCTATCTTGAAACTGTAAAATTTCCAAAGTCTTTCGATAATTCTTCTTTGCAATGAAATTAAAAAGTCTGCGCGTAGAAAAATCTATGTTTCCAAAAAGCTGTCCTTACAAATCCTATAAGAAAATTCAGTCCACTGTAAAAATAATCATTGTGCGTAAATTAATATAAATAATACTGGAACCGATGTAACTCTTACCAAAAGAAAATTCACCCTCGCTTTCCGAGCATTCGTGCAGCCTCCTCCTAACAAAAACCTCGTTACACCTAAAAGACACACTCACAGACTCGGTTTACATACAATCGCAAATTACATGGATTAATCCCTCAAGATACAAAGGTACGTGGTGTGGTGTGTGTTCGAATGATGGTGTGTAAAGTGTTTGTCGCCAAAGAAACGCAATCGCACGGCGCTTATAGCAGTCGAACGAAACGGAAGGAAACTGAAGAACGGGAATGTAAAAGAGAAAATTTAAAAATGAAAAAAAAAATAAACAAAAAGAACGAAGTGGCAACTGAAAATATAAGCGCATGCCATGCGATTAAAATGTCTAACATCTAAGAACCCAGGCAAGTGAGCTAAAACGCAAGGGATCGAAGTTCGACGACCCTGTCTGCCTACCACATTTATTATCGATTCTAGACAACTAATAAGAAAACTTTTCTCTTTCTGTTTAATTGGTAAATAAAAAATTGTGTACTTATTAAAAGTTAAAAATCTTAGACGTCCACTTTTTTTTAGAATCCCAAAATATTCGGATGTAATCAATGGATTAAAAAATTAAAATTAATTAAATAAAAATAAGTAGAACCATTTGTATTTCACGTACACCTGCGACAGAGTCTTCGTTACTTCGAATTAATGTTCCTTCTGTAACGTAGCACCCGTTTTTCTGTCATTCGAACGAAAATTATCATAATATATATCAGCAACACATACAGTAATCGTGGCGACGTTTTTAACGACGACAATGGTGACAATGGTGACGATAATACTAACGGTAATTATGGTAATACGTGTATACAATAGGGCGATACATCAGTAATTAATTTAATACGATTTTAATATCATAATGTGACGACGACGGCGACGATGGATAATAATAATAATAATATTGTAGTAATTAAAGTAAATTAAAGTAGCAGCTTTGTGACGCCTTGATGATACAGTAATAATGGTAAATAACGCTAATAGCAACGGTCAAAGTAAAGATAATCAATAATTATAATAATAATAATAATCGTAATCATAACACACATCATGCGCACTAAAACACGTATGGTCCAAGAGCTAATCAAGCAATACTAAATCTGATGATTTGATAACACTTTTCCCAAAGATGAATTTAAAAAAAAAAAGAACAATAAAAAAAAAATGTAGGCAAGAAATGAACATATACAAATTACACAAGAGGAGAGAAAAAATCGTATGCAATCGGCTGAAATGAACCCAACTAAGAAACTAATATATAGCCGCAATCTAAGGTGTTTAATTATTAAAAAATAATTATTTTCGGCGTGCTCCCGTTTCGTGCTGATGCTCTCAGGTCTCGTTTTTCATTTTCTTTTGCTCGCGAATCATTCGTGTACTCGATGATCGTAATCTGTCCTCGCGAGTGGGGGTGTGTGGGATTAGTTTCACGTTAAGGGGTTAAAATCTACTCCGAACGACTCATTTTCAAGTGCCCATGGTGGTTTTTTCTCCTCGAAAAATTCACCAAGCGTGATTTAAGTATCTGCAAGTTCTTTGGCTCTAAAACGTAGGCGTGTTCGAATTGTCAGTTAACTCGAGAAAATAAAAAAAATAAAATAAACACGAAACTCGATCGACGCGCACAGCTCGGGACGAAAACGAATTTTTCTGCGGACAAGTTCCGCCACTTGGAACGGATATTCGTCTGATTCGACTCCTCCTCGGAAAATCAGATCATAGTAATCGCGAAAAAATTTCCTCTCGAAAAATATTTGTACTCTACGAAGTGGCGCGAAACAAGAAACCTCTTTCCCCTTTTTGGAAATAAAGAGAAATCGCACCTCGAAATGTAGAAATCCTTAATTAATCGATTACACTGTCCAACGACTAATTTCTATCTTCATACCAATTGATGCATTTTTTTTCGACTACGAATCTGTAAATCTTTATATTTTATTACAGAAAAATGAGTTTGAATTTTCTGTTCAAAATGAAATTTCTCAAAAACCGAAGGGGATGAAAAACAGAAGTTTGCAGATTCGCAACCAGGGCACAAATTTCTATAAAATATACAAAGTGGATATCGTGATACATGAAAAGGAATCTGAAATTTGTTGGACCGTGTTATCCGAGCACTCCCTCCCTCTGCTATCAGTACCTCGCGTTCTAACACTAGGCATTTGGCAATTTAAGGCAGTAAATCTTAGGCCAATAAAGCCTCTCGCTAACGCAGATCCACGTTATTCGTACAGATACCGTTCGAGTGCATCGCTGACGATGCAATCGCAAAGTTACACCCATCGATCAGAAACTTCGAACTAGAAGCACTCGAACCATCTCAGCCTGATTCTCCTTTAGTCTATACGATTGAGCGTGTAAAAATTGTTACCTGCACCGGGTCTTCCCATCGCGATCGTCATCGTCATCGTATCGATCGTATCTGACGTCAGATGAACCGCGAATCCTCGAAAGAACCACCAAAGCGTGTTAACCTTAGCGTAATGGCAGAAACGTATCGGCACGTTCGGTAACTGGCGAACATTTAACACTTTAAGGGCCACTGAGATTCAAGAAATTTACAAGCTCTCTAATTTCAAGTGTCGTTTCAATATTCGAAGGTACCATTAACCCTCGATCGATGGATCATTGAAACAGGGACCATTTCTTTGACCTTCCATTAACCCTCGATCCATGGATCATTGAAACAGGGACCATTTCCTTGATTCTCCAAAATTCATCGTTCGAGGGTTAACGTACCCCTACAAATAATTTCCAAACTGCCACCTACAATTTTCACGAGATTCTTACACGATAAAAGTATCAAAGTCGCGCGACACGGGCCATCAAAGTGTTAATTACCATGATAATTAAACGCTTCGCACCGCGTCTTTTTTTCACTCTCTCTCTCTCTGTCCAGCAAAAAAAAAAAAAACAAAAAAAATGTTTCTCACTGCTATCGCAAACTTTGTCAACGAACCCACTTATATCCGCTAATATAACCCATATTATCTCACGGAATGTTGTGCACCGGTTTATTCGACTCACTTTTACAACACTGCTCGTGCGTGCGAACACAACCGCGTGTTCCGGATAATTGACGAGCTGTTTTCCACGCGTTCGATCGCGAGAAGAAAAGATGGACAAAAGAACACGGACGAACGTACACGCGAGAAGTGTTTCGTCTCCTGTCCATAGTGTATGTTATTTTTTTTTCCTTGGTGTATGACCGACAGGATATACGGTACGAGTATTCGCATTAGCACCTCTAACGTGTACCACTAAACGAATTTCATTAGAGCAGTGAACAGAGTGTGACCGTTCCTCACGACGATCTTTTTATATTTTTTTTTGTTATATTCTTGTATCTTTTTTTTTGTTTTTTGTTTCTGTTTCTTTTTTTTCTGTTTTTTTAAATGGCTAGGATTAGGATCGTTATTGCTGTGGCAATGGCGGTCACGTCGAGCTTGCGAGTACCTCCAGCGGAAGTATCTATATTGTAGTCCACATTGAGGCCCGGAGATTCTGAATGATAAAAAGTGACTTGTAGAAGGATCGTCTGGCTGTGTCTTGAACATGTTTTGTTAAAAGGGAGGGGTAATATCTGACGAGGAATCTCAAGCAAACGATACGCGTTGATTTTCATATCGTTTTGGTACGAAAATAAGCGAGTATCATTTGCATAATATTCCTTGCAAATACGCCTATGCTCACCGGACAGTTTCTCTAAAATCGCTTTGGTTCTACAAGGGTCAAGGGGACTGAGGATTATCTCGTTTCGATCTTTAGACTCGAAACGAAGTATCCTTGCGATAAGTGAGCGTTCTACGTAAAACGTGTCTCGAATCAGTATCTAATTATCGAAAAATACCTCAATGACCCTTTTCCCTCCTCCTTGAGTGAACATAAAACAGAGGCGAATCAATTGTAAACGGTCTTTTCTCGTAGAATTTAAAAAAAAAAAATGAGAAAAAAAAATATAGGAGAACAACATATCAATCGGTGCAATAGCCTCGTGCACATATAATGAAAACGTTTCAAAGAGGAAAAAATATACGACTTGATAAGGGCACTAATATCGTCGTGAGGTGTTTAAACCACGACCAACGAATGAAATAAAAAATAAAAAAAAAGTGAAGATAACAATGTGTTTCGCGTTTAAGTAGTTTTCTATGGGATGCGAAGAACGAGAGAAACTTACCCCTTGCAGTTTTGAACTTCGCCGAGCCAGGTTGACTAAAACCTATCGCGTTGTGCGCCTTCAATTCCACCGTGTAAAATGTGTCCGATTGAAGATTCTTCAACCAGTAGCTGAGCGTGTTTCTGATTACTTGAGTTTCGCAGGTGTCTTCCAACACTTCCCACCCACCGGAGATGCGTTTCACCCGACAGTACTTGATCTGGTACATGTCGATGGGTTCGCCGTTGTCGGCGGGTTTCGTCCATCTCAATTGGTATTGATTGTTGTACGTGGACAAATCGTACTCGGCACCGGCTGTTATGATCTTCGGCTCGTTCGGTGAATTTCTAACGGGTGTAGTTTCCTGATGATAACCACCCCAATTGCCTACGCCCACCTCGTTCCTAGCTGCGAAACGGAACTCGTAGGGGGTCTGCGGTTTCAGGTCTTCCAGCACGTACAAGGAGCCTGAAACAAATGAACCAGGGGACAGTTATTACCGGGTTATTAAACGTCAGTAGTTTAATCCTTTCTGTAGGAGAAACCTTGTCTTCTCCGTGGGGTTGAAATTGGTTGAGCTATCGTTTGATCAAGTTTCTGTCATTGTACTATTATGCGTAGAGCCGGTAATAATTGAAATTTTATTCTACTCACCGACGGACCACGTTTTGTTCTTAGCCTCCATCCAGGTCTGGCCGTCCTTCTTGTATTGTACGACGATGGTTCGGACGGGTAATTCAGGTTGCGTGGCGGGCGGTACCAGGTCGAACTTGATCGTGGTCGCGGTGATCTCGGCCATCTTCACCTGTAGTACTTCGCCAGGTCTCGTGGCTTCCCTCAGCTCGATGTTATGCTCCCGCGTTCCATGCGTGTTCGAGGCGATACACTTGTAAGTGGTGTAATACCGTCTGTCGAGCGGTACGATCATCAACGTCGAGAGCGGTCCGTTACCTAACTGCTTGATCATGTTATCATTGTCGATCTTGCGATCTCCGTTTATGGTCCAGCGTATCGTAGCGTTCGGTATGCTATCAGCGATGCAGCTTATGTTCACCGGCCTCTGTTCCCACGACCAGACAGTCTTATTCGACATGGACGCGAACGAGGGTGGAAATTCGACGGTAAGGTGTCCGTTTCTGTGCGCCTCACCCCCGGCATTCTGAGCGATACACTCGTAAAGGCCGTCGTTTGATCTGAAAACCTCGTGGATCGTCAAAGTACCGACCGTTTCACCGGTGGTGACGTCGGCCTGATTCGTCAGGATAATCCTGTCGTCGTCGGGTTGAGCTCCATTCACGTAAGGCTTCTCCGATGTGTGCTTTCTGAACGTGACTTGGGGAGGTGGACGGCCAAAGGCTTTGCAGACGAGATTCGCTTCTTTGTCCTGCACCACGGTGCTGTTCACGAACTCCATGATCTTTGGTTTCACTATCACGTTCACCTTGATGTTCGTGCTAGCCGTACCGGCCGCGTTCGTCGCCGTGCATTGATACTCCCCCGCGTCCTCCCTGTTCACGTTGGTGATCGTCAACACACCCGTGTCCGCGTCCACACCGAACCGATCGGCATTCGACAGATTCTGCTGGGTCAACGATTTCACCCAGGTGAATTTTGGTGGCGGTTTGCCGCGAGCCTTGCACCGTATGTCCGCGTTTTCCCCTTCGATTATGTTCACCGGACTGGACAGCTCCTCCACGGTGGGTCGCACGTGAACCTGTTGGGGATGGAAATGCAAACCAGGATCTTGATACCTGTGGTAAACGGTACGTCTGCCGCATGGAATAATTAGCGTACATATTTGGAGGTCGGATTCGGGGGTAATGCGGGACAGAACACGTTCATTGGTTGGCAAACAGGGAAAGGATAATGAAGTTGGCCAATTTTCGAAATGATTGCAGAATAAATACTGAAACGAAGGGGAATATATCGCGTGAAACCTACCTCGACACGGATAGGTCGTTCTTTCAACTCGCCGGTAGTCAATACCGAAGCACGACAAGTGTAGATACCGTCGTCAGATTCTTGAACGTTCTTGATCTTCAGGGCGTACGTGTCTATAATGTAGTGGTCGTTCGTCTTAATTAATTCCCCGTTGTACAGCCAGTCAACCGATGGCGAAGGCCTTGCCCGTACTTTGCACTGAATAGCGAAGTCCTCTCCCAGAATGGGATATTGATTGGAGGGTGCATTGTCCCAGGTGATCGCAACTACGAAACGGTAATTATTCTTCGTGTATTTTCACCTCTCTACGTATCATCGTTATTTTCTTACACCACCGTCGTCTTCTTTTTTAATCGAACATTATTTAACATTAATTCTGAAACTTTTCAACATAGCTGTATTATTTTTTTCTCACCTATGGTATCGATCGTCACCGACTTCTCCAGGAGAATGGAATTCGCGTAAGTTCCTTTGCACATGTATTTACCAGCCTGTTCCTCTTGCAACGAATTGAAGAACAAAGACAAGCTGTTATCCTGGTGCAATTCGGTGTACATCAGTGGTTTCGTATGCCCAGGGAACGTGCTACACGGGATAATCGAAAGAAATTATTCCACTACCATCCATCTTTCACTCATAGCCATACAACAACGACGATAATAACGGCGATGAATGAAACGTTCGGATAGAGTGTTGGAAATTGAACATAAATTGGCTCGGTGTTTCGCGAAAATCGATAGAAATACGTTTCTCACGATTCCTTTCGCTCGAAGGAACAAAATTAAATCGTTAAAGCGGCTAGTAATTCGAATTTCATCCCCTTGGCGGTTCCGAAAATGACCACGGAACGCTCGATCGCGATAATATTCCAATCGACACGCTAGAACAATACTGATTAACGGGCAACGATAAACGATATTTCTCCAAATATTTTCCAATCGAGCGTGTTGAATTTTCGCCCCGACGAAATCTGTAAATCGTCCTCGATAACTAATCCGTATTCTAACGCGAAACAGCGAGCCGATATCGGGGTGAAATATCACTATGTCGCTAGAAAGAGGGGTGGGGGGTGGTGTGTGAGAGATGGTATACACGCGGTGAACACGATGGTGGGTGCATCGAAATCGAATCGATGGCGTGGGATCGAGAGTGCGGCGTAATCGATCGACCTTAATTCGCGACGTAAGGGCCGGATCGAACACGAAGAACACACCTCGTTGATTCTCTCTGGTTGGATCCCACGCCAGCAACGAGGACCAGCAATTTCAGTCGCTGGTGTTCAGGCAACGATGAAAGAGCGAGAGCTAGATGAGAGGGCGGGGCAGGAGATAAACTGGTACAAACGAGACGCATTCACATGAATTCACACAATTTAACAACACTGCATGACAGAGTACGGTTGCGGAGATAAGGTCCAGGCGGATGCTGAATCGAGTCGTAATGAATAGTTTCGATGCGATTTCGAACGGGTCCCCGTCAGCAACGATACGCTCTAATGAACCCTTTCGATTAGGAAACGCGACCTCCGTAGAGCTGCTGATCTAAGAAAAAGAAAAATAGGGAGTGGCGTTGACTGTGGTTAAATCGTGGTTGATTTCAGGTGCAATTAGTCCTGTGATTGCGACCTAACCAATTGCTCCTTTCCTCTGAAATAATACCGTACCTGCGGTTACAGGCTAGGCTTTCTCAAATTTTTCTCATTGATATTTTATTAAGATCTTAGTTCAGAATATATTACACTTGAAACCATTGTAACCGCACAAAAGCCAACTAAGGAAAGAAACGATGCAACATTTTTGTGTCGTTCATACACGATGATAATGGCAATGAGAAATGGTAGCAGTGTTAGTCCGACGATTATGCAATAGCACCCTTTCTTCTATCCTAATCGGGAACACGATCCGTAAGTAGGATTAATGAAACGATTCTCGAGCCGGTACACGCGTCCGTCGTTGAATTTATCGGCCATTACTCGCCACGACGAGCGGACATAATTATGCAAATCTCTCGGGGTACGCGTAATCGGGCAAACACGCGATCCGACGAATCAGTTACCGACGAGGTTAACGCTCGTTTGCGTTGTTTGATCGTGCGGTTCAATATTTGCAAGACGCTGCCCGCGATACTGTACATTATTTAGCCGAAGGATCGATCGTGATCGCGCAGACTAACACGCGGCTACAAGAGAAGACAATGTTCTCTGGATAAACATATAGACAGATGATGGTGATGATGGTTAGTTGGTTTAACCCTTTCAGCTTCAAATACCTTCGTGGATAGTTCACTGTGGATATAGAATAGATAGAACACCCAGTTATCGTTTACAGAATAGTAACACCTGTTCAAACATGTTCAGGCTAGAAAACTGACGTCCATAAACAAAGGTCACAGTTTCATGGTTCACGGTCCACAGTGAATATTTCATTCGAAGCCGTGTATGGAAGTTGGTAGAGCTAAAAGGGTAAGTGAAACAGTGCGATAATAGAGCCACTTAATTGCTCGGTTTGCCTGTTGTTGTCGTTCAACAGCACGCATCCTTTAACGTCTGTTTTAGCCAACGGGGTTTTCTTGCCCCGCCAGCAAGTTCTACACGCGGTGGGCCAGGGATTGTTCAAATAGAACGGGAAGTCAGTTTGGCCACGGAAGGCGGAAAACTTTCTCGAACAGCTTAATGAGCAACGCTTAGCTAGCAGAACAATCGGGCGGACCTGCAGCAATTAAGAGCCTCCACTGTACAGAGGTTGTTGTAGACGTAAATCAGCCGCGGGGTGACTACTGGTCTAAGATGGGGCACCGAAGAAAGACACCGTCTTCTCGGTTGGATGAGTTTCAGGGGGAGGAAAGTCTAAAGTGTGACTATAAAAACGGCTGCGGGGGTGGTACGATCGCAGAACAATGAGAAAACAGATGGACTTACACTACGGTTGCGTGTTTAAAAAAGTCTTGAATTGAGTTTTGTATACTCGCCTTTCGATCGGCAAAACGACGAGTCTGTGTGCAAAACAAGTGACAGAAATTTGTTTAATTAGTGCTGTTGCGTGGTGGTGATCGTGGTCCTAGCTCAGGTGTAATATAAAAAATTTTGTAGAAAAAAAAGAGCCGCGTGGCTGCAAGTACGTATGCACTTATACGATGGAAATGTAATTCGAGGTATAATAATTTATATTTCTGAAAATGATAAATCGAGATCGAGGAAATTTAAAATTCTTTTTATATAAATACCAAGTTTCAAGTTTCAAATGTATGTCATTTTAAAAATAAAGCTCCCTGTAAAACATCCCCGTTGCAAATTTTCAATTTTCTCTCGTAGACTAAACTTTTATACCACGAGCCACACATCACCATTTGCGCATCTCTCGTTTCAATTATCCGCTAAAAGTGGCTCTGTTATTGTAAAAATAAGCTCAATAGCATGAACGTCCCTTGCTCGTATATTCTCGTTTACCCTGACAAACGTTGTTTGAGCTGTCGCGAATTTTTTTCCCGCTCCCTGCTTCTGGCTCTTAACATCGTCGTTTGAGTTATACGTATATCTCGCTGCACACGTTTCGACAAATCAGTGAAATTTCATAAATCAACGGATCTTCGTAGCTTTCGACGAATGTTTACTAGTCTCAATATCGCTGCGACTACTCGTGGCGCGACATTGAAACGAATTTCATTCTTTTGTCACGTGTGACGTCGAGAAATAGAGTGGTTTTAATCAATTTTATCCAATTTGAGAATACACGGGGCAATTTCTGATTTATGGTGAAAAAAAAAAGAAATAGAATAAACGTGTTCCGAGCTTTGAAATGAAAATTATTTTTAAAAATAAATTAATTACTGTTAGTGCGATGAATTCTGTCAACGTTATATTAAGGGGATAAGTAAAATAAATCGACTAATTCAATTTATCGCCCTTTCTAAACGAGAAACCGTATTCACAGTTCGATTAAATAGCCAAATCAAAACTTGTGCGAACCACCTTAGATCAGAATCGAACCGTGCAAACGAGAATACACCGCAGCAAGTAACGAGAAACGTGAAGCAGGAATCGTAGTTAACAATCTGCGGAATCTATCGAACGGATCTACTCACTTCAGCGACTCGATCACACGATTCTGTGGATCGACCCATTGCATGTCCCTGATGAGCTTCGTGTCCTCGACCTTCGGTTTGCACGTCAGGATGATGCTGGAACCGATTGGCTTCGTCTGCGTATCCCCGCTTGGCAGGATCTCCAAGGAAGCCTGGTTCGCGTAAGCTGCAAGCAAAATCGAGACGTGACCGGTCGTTAGGTTGACAACGAAAACAGATCGTTAGCGCGTCGAACGGATAGGGATACAGGATTTTCTTGCCGGGCACGGTGCGCGTTCGCTTTAATCGGCCCACGGTAATTGCACGTAATTTCGTAATAACGACGCGATTGCATCGCGTCCCTGGAAATCCGTGTTGGAAGATTTTTACAGACACCTCGAAAACATCGAACACGCTCGACGTGTACGGACTACTTTATCGCGCGATGCTGTGGCTCGTTGAGACTTAATCCCTTGATAGCGTAGACAATTTATTATAGGGAGGACATTTTTATTTTTAATCAAATAAATTCTTACGTTTATTGTACGGTATTTTTTTCTTCATCTTATCTTAGGATCAAATCTCTCATACTCTTTTTGCGAAACACCAGCGTCAATCCCCAACGTGGAATCATCCGTATCAGGATATATCGATAGATTGGAGCTCGATGTAAGCTTCTTACCCGGACGATTTGCGTCGCGAGGTGACGGCGCAGCCCTGAACAGATAAACGCACAGCACGGAAATGCAGATCGACGTCTCGGCGGCGCTCATTGTCGAGACGTGGCAGATGCCACGGCTGCTTTTACGAGCACTAGCAACATACGTGCGTCAACTATGATGCCGGAATGCAGCCGGGTTATGCCGTCGTGACACGCAACGAGCCCCGGGTGCCCCGCCGGTACGCACAACAGGAAGCCAGAATTAAGCTAATTAATCGTGACGAGCGAAAGTACGGAATTGGACTAACTAGGAAACGTTCCGACAGCCATGAGCCCATTGTTAATCTTCTCTTTACTCAGGAATCGTAAATGTTTACCTAGATATACGTATCGCGCGTCTGAAATTTCCACTACGCTATTTACAAATATATTCTGGAGCAATTGGATTTTTCTGTACATACCCGGGCGTTCGTCGATAAAACTATATACGAACGTTCATCCGGTTGATTCACGTGTGCCGTTGACGTAATCGGGCATGTTACGAAAATTGAAACTGTGTCAAATGAAACGACGTGACAAAAAAGCTGTTCTCGGTTTACACTCGTGTGTATTTACCGTCGTGGGACCAGGCTGTAAATATTCGTCGGTGAAATTGTAATTAATTCAATGCAACGACAGAAAGATACGATGACTATGAATGAAATGATACGGAACACACGTACGTCGCAAAATGTGAAATAAATTCACTTCCTGAATCTTCGAATCTGCATTTATGATCTTCATCTGTCTATCACACTTCCCGACGGTATATCAAACAGATAACTCTATCAGTGTAGAATTGTAGATAGGGAAGTTAACGAGTGAAGCAGACGTTACGTAATTCGAAGGACGTCTCGGAGAGCCGGGTAGAAGATGATTCAAACGGAAAGTCCAATTTTCGGTACCGTGGTCTGCTCGTTTCGCGATAAGAAGTTCAGCAATCGAGCAAGAGCACTTCCTCCAGCTGGGATTACGACCCCCCGAGAAATATCTTGGCCCGGGACAGCTTATTTCCACTCGTTCGGGAAACAACGGGCCGACGTAGTAGCGATAAGCCTCGCGAATTCATCATTTCCGGATCGTTTAGTGAAAGGGGAGAATAAGAACGTATGACAAGGGTGAATTACAGGTTTCCCTATAGTCATCCAGAAGGCTACGACTCGAGAATCTCTAATAAGCCTCACGTACGATTATATAAATGAGATACACATGGTAAATACACTCTCCCTTATAGAGGACCATCAAGAATGGCCATTATCTTGTAACTCGACGAAATTTCCGGTTGAAATTCTGACGTCCGATGAGCTCGCCGCTTTAAACGCTATCAATTATCGTTAAACTCTTATTGTATCTACCGAAGAAGAATAGTGTAGTTATTTTATTGTTAAAATACCATTAAACATATTATTGTCTAATTGATAATTAGACGATTCAAATTTATTTCTAAATTATTAAATCTAAAACACTCACCATTACTTCATCATTCTAAGGATATCATCCTCTATGCAACAATACACGTCATCAACCCTCGAGAAAAAAAAGCGCATCGTAATTCACGATCCCCAAAACCCGCCACCTAATTACACCCTAACATCAGAGCCTCCGCAAAATCCAGAAAGCTGCTTTCTCACCCTCGATCATTACGTTATACGAAACTCGTTCGTGAACCAGCTAAAAGAACACCGCAAATCCATGGGGTTGTACCATCACGAGGATCCACTCGAACGTATTCTATAATCGTTTTACAAATTCGACCGATTCATCGCGGACCGTTGACCACCCTTTACAAAGACCATCATCATCGTGCAACCCCCCGAATTCGCGAATTCATCGTTCCTCTGCGTTGCGCGGATTCACTGGAAAACATTCCACTCGGTGAATTTTCACGAAGAAATCCTTGGTAATTGACCGAGGGCTTCGTCATTGCGTTCCTCTTCAGGGGGGTAGGAAGATGACCCGAAGAATCAGAAAAAGGAATAGGGTGACGAGAAATAAAGTACGGAGTGAGGGAGAAAGAAAGAAACAAAGGAGCGTGTAGATGCAGAGAGCCACCCTTCCAGGACATCTTATTTACGTTAGTTAGGGTTTGTTGGCACAGCCACCCGAGGGGCCATTCAATGGAACCACCACCCCCATTTCTATTCCCCGATGTCTACGTATACATTCAGAGCTCCTCCTAGAAACCCTGCTATTACCCTTATCCACCTATATGTATATGGGACATCACCTACCCCCTTACACAGGGTGTCGTTCTGTTACTTACGCACCACCCGATGTATACCCGTGTGGCAAGGGGCTTGGAAGCGGGTAAACTCGGCGACATGTCACTCGAGCTGGAAGAATTCGATCTGGGAGGGTGCTGGAAACAGAGGGTGGTTCGCGAGGAGGGATACAGAGAGGATTTGATCAAATTCCGATATCGAATTGGCCGGGTAAGGGTGAAAAACGAGAAACGGAGGGGTTTACGAAATTTTCCGATGTAGCTACTTGACAAACTTCCATTCGTATCACTCAAGGTTCTTCTCTGCTACCGACTTACGCGCGGATTTTCGACGAATGTTTGGTTTTCATCTGGACGAGCGAGCTCGGTTTTGATATCGCGAAAAGCTCCAGAAGAGGGGCAGCGAAATTCGAGACGGAAGAAACGCGAGAACGTTGAAATCCAAAATTGAACTCGTGATTGGAAATTCAGCACCCTCGGTCGCACGAAACGAATATGTACGCGCAACTGATGTTACGGACCTCAATCGCACGTTCTGAATCGAATATCGATGATTTCGATATGTTGCTAATAAATCCTGATTTCTATTACAGATATTCAGTTGGGGAAAACTTGTTAGTTAAATAGAAACTGAAATTGTAAATCTTCGAAATAATATTCGTTATTTAGAATAAATATTATCAGGTTAATAGTAATTAATAATAAGGGTTTCATTCTCTTGCTAAGGGTGTGGAAACGAGAATGTATATTTCCCGTCGATTTATTCCATTTCGACAATCCTAGAGAAGGAGAAAACAAATTGGGACACAGAACGGTGAAATAAAATACGGTTCAATATTCTTTTATCTCTTTTTTCGGTTTTTTTCATGTAACGAAACATACAACAGCAGAGGCTATCGGAATTAATTGAACGATTGTGAAATTATTCGATAAAACAATCTTTGTGTTGGCAAATTGTTTTACGATACTCTTTTTCTGGGAATTTTAATACAAACACCATGAAAATGTTCATTCTATACAAAATGAAATCTGAGGAAATAATATTGAAATAACAGGAACATAATACCGTCAGTGTTTTTAATTAATACTGCAAGTGATATTAGTTGCATGGTAATTTCCTGGAACGAGTTAATCGACTCTGTAATGATAACAGACAAGTGGGGAGTAGTTTGAGTTAAGTTTAACGGGTCTAATAGCTAAGATATCGACAAACTGTCTTCCGGTAATCAAGTAATCACGTTACCTTAATACACACCAGTCGAAAACAAGGAGCTAATTGATGCTATAATCGACAAACTTTCTTCGAAACCATTTCAACGTGTCACGAAGCTGTTCATTAAATTATCTCAAAAACACCTTCAATTCTACCCTAATTTGCATTTTAATTTTCCAAATCGTAGACTGCTCTAAAACGTCACTATTTCGCTTCAAATTCGTACTGCTTATTTTCAGTCAAAGCATCGTTTCGTGGATCTAGGTCACAATGCATCCACTAAAGAAGTCCGAAGGAATCATCCCCTTAATCGAGTATCCGTATTCAAATCGTTTCACTGTGGAGAGGAAGAAGTATCAAAGGACACAGTGAACGGCCTTTTTCAAGGGACAAAGGAATCCTGGAAACTTGATCCATAGTATCGACAGGAAAAGACGCCGAGGGGTGGACTAGTGGACCACCCCCCTTTTCGTCCGATATCCCGAAAGTTTCCCGATTAAGTCGCCGGGGGGATCGTTTCGTTGTAATCTTGTCGACAAACTCTCGCGATTAAGTAGCTCGATATATACATATACAGAGACGGTGTAATGAAGTGGTCGAAGGGGCTCCGGCATCTCGGTGGCGGCCGTTTCGTAAACCGAAATTACACTCGCTAATAAAGGGGTGCAAAATGGTCGTCTGGCCAGAAACTTGCAGCATACGCGCCCGTCGGATTAGCCGAGTATGTACACGGTTGGCCGATCAGAGAAAGGTGTTCTGTTATTAATAGCAATTAAGCAAATGGTCCTTTACGAAATTTCATTAGATCGGCTTGGTAGGGTAGAAGTGCGCGATGCAAAGGATCTGCATTAATATCTCGTACGCGTTCAACGGGAACAATCAACTTCCGTTTGATGAGAGGATGAAGTAAAAGCTTTCCCGGGAAAATTGTGCGTTTCAATGGGTTCATGGGATTTTGAATGTTAAACGTGCGGTATGAATTGGAGATGGGATTCAAGCATACTGGGAGCAGATCCGAATCTGCTTTATTAGTGGATTTAAACTGATGGTTCGAGCTTCCGGCATTTTGGCCAAGTATTGAGGAAGCCATGACGTGAAAGGGCGAGCGGAAGCGAGTTCCGTGCGAACAGTTAGCACGTGGCTCGCCGAGGTGGCCAGAAACCAACAATTTCACCGCAAGGCTTCCGCTTCAAATCGGCTTTCCAAGCACAATTTCAACCCGCACATTCTCCTTCGTGCAGAAATTTTTATCCCGGCTTCTTTTAATGTTCGACACTTGGTTTAGAGTACTCCGGTGCAAAAACAGTCGCGAGAAGAAGCGGAAAAGGAATCTACGGAGGGCTTCAGGCGGCATTTAATTAGAATGCGGCTTATCTCCGACCGTGAGTGTTCCGTCTACGGCGTTGGCAAAAGTTTTTATCGGTATCTCTTTCACCGACTGCCTTTCAAGCACTACCGTGTACTCGTATTTAGAAGGCTTCCTTGTTGCCTTTGTGTAGAAACGCGAGCTTTGATCGGCTGACACGGTAGAGGAGGAGCGTTTTGATTAACACGGGCTTCGCGCCATTGTCAGAATTTAATCGTCATTCGAATATATAAACTGGCTTCGGTAATCCTCGTTAACAGGACGATTCTAAATTTAACTCGATATTTTTACAACATTTTTTTATTTTTATTAAACCTTCACTGGGTTACTCAGGCAAGA